TTCCGGCTACTTGGAAGGCTGAGGCGGAAGGATCGCCGGAGCCCAGCAGGTCAAGGCTGCGGTGGCCGGGAGCAGCCACTGCACTCCAGTCTGGGTGACAGAGTGAGACTCCAACTCAAAAAAAAAAAAAGCGGTCCCTAATATGCCTTCTATGTTCCGAGCACAATACAGGTTATAAAAGCAACCCTCCTTGAGGAAAACAGGAAGGTTTCCAGAGGTCCTTCCTTTGGTGTAATCCACCAAACCTTGGAAAAGAAGTGGGAAGAGAAGACTTCTAATCAGAAATTCTAGGCAAATAGGTTTGATCCCAAGGACTGCCCCTCTCTCCTGAAAGAGAGCCCCAAATGATTCACCTTTATTCTGCTACCCCAGGTTCTAGATGACTGGCACATTTCCTTACAGCAGAATTCAGGCAGATCAGAATATTGTATTTCTGAGAAGTACTAAGGGCTGGAAGAGCCAGATGTCCTTTGTCTGTTTGATAACCCAAGAGGTCAGGTGCAATTAAGGCAGAAAGTTCAAGAAGATACCACAGGTGCATGTTGATAGTAGTGTTTATGGTGACTTTGTAAATTTCAGTGACTTGGAAAGAAAACCATAGAGAACAGACAACCACTGAGCCCCAACGATGTACCTTGGTATACACAGCTGAAAACAGTCAAAGTTGGGTCATTTGTTTGCGGGAATTCACTGTGAAGCCAGGTTGTCTCACTCCAAAGCTCATGTTCTTTCCTTCATACTCTCTGGCAGAACAGCTGTCCCCTGTCCTTGTGGAGGGTAACCAGGCATTGCGTTGTGAGTCAGCAACAGTCTGTGGGGAGGATTCAGGCAAGTTAGCTTACCTGCTAATGATGCTATTACCATCTGCTGTCGATAGGGGCCACAGCGTGTGGAGCAGGGCAACAAGGGCGCATCATAGCACCGTCCTCTGCCTAGGAAAATAAATGAGAACGGCAGTGCAAAAGTCTCACAAAGCTGGCCTGCCCCTCCTGCTTGTCCTCCCACCTCCTGTGTCCCCCCAGCCCAATTATTTTAGGGCTTGAACACAAGAGACCAAATTTAAAAAGTATCCCTTGTAATAGTATCAGTAGAGTTAACCAAAGGGCTAAAGAGATTTAACCAGGCCGGGCTCGGTGGCTCAGCCTGTAATCTCGCGCTTTGGGAGGCCGAGGTGAGTGGATTGCCTGAACCCGTGGGTTCGAGACCCGCCTGGGCAACTTGGTGGGACCTCATCTCTATAATAAATCAAAAAATTAGCTGGGCGTGGTAGCACGCACCTGTAGTTCCAGCTACCTGGAAGGCTGAGGCGGAAGGATCGCCGGAGCCCAGTAGGGCGACAGAGTGAGACTCCAACTCAAAAAAAAAAGAGATTTAACCAAACTGTTCAAGTGGAGGCACTTCCTTTTCCTGTGAGCAGTGTAGCTGCCTCCCTTCCATCCTTTGAGTGCTGGGTATTCCAGTATTGCAAAGAGAGACTAACCCAGATCACTATGGCTCACTGCTTCATCACTTAATAGGTCACCCCTGAGTAATTTATGAGCACCCGAAGTGAGGACTATTTCTTTACACGTAATGGTTAGTCATCACCTACTTTGTCTACTTTGAAAAGCACAAGGAAGACTTCCTTACTCAAATATGTATTTCCTACTAGCATATGACATTCCCTGAAATCTCACCAGTGCAGACTCCTGACCTTGTGTCAATAGATTATGTTGGTATTATAGAAAGTTGCTGGTATTAGAGGTTCACCTAACACCTAGGATTTCCAAACCAAGGCAGGAGGAATCCTAAAGGGGGAGTGGAGAGGGAAAGGTTACAGGTGGGAGATTTTGGAAGCTTGGAGCACTGCTTGTGAGGAAAAGATACACATAAAGTGTCTCAGTAGACAGCGTTTTAAGTACTGGGTGCTAAAGGATGTGGTCACATCCAGAGAGGAGATAGAGTATCCTTTGAGATAAAAGTGGTCCAGTCTCACCGTTTTGCCTGAGAATGTTTCTGCTTCTTGAATAGGTAAGTGATCTAAACAAAAGGAAGTGTTGAGCAATGCAGGAAGCTCTCAAACCTGATGTAAAACATGAAAAGTTCATGATTTATGTGGTACAGGGTTCCTTGGCCAAAGAGGAAGCAGTTAATTTTGAGAGGAGTAACCACTGCTTTTAAGTCTCCAGAAAGTGGTTTGGGCTGTTGTCAGAAGCGCTGAAGGCTTGTGTCTATCATTTGAAGACAAGAGGCTTCCAGCTTCTCTTTGTTGTCAATGTAGAAATCCTTGGCTGAAAAAATGAATACATAGAATAGGAGATACAGGATTAAAATGACATGAACGGGACAGGAAGCACAAGGCTGAAACTCACCTCATGTCAGAATGATTGCTTTATTTTCCAACTAAATAAAATTGGGTCATGTGTGATTGTTGATGGCAATTCTTGCCAGGAACACCAGAGTTAAGGGGAAGTTACAGATTGCTCCAATTTTCCCAGTTCCTGGACATTCCTGAGAGATGATTTTGCCGTCTTCAGGACATTCCTGAGGTATGAACACATCATTCATTTCTTGCAGTACTTTTCAGCTTATGGCCAGACACTCTCAGGGAGGGTCATGGTCAGTTCAACCAGCTGACTTCAGCACTTGTTGGCTGTCTCCAGTTAATGAGCTGTACGTGTGATGTCCTCTTTCATTTTCAGCACTAGAAACCATGGAAGTAAAGGGGAAACAGTATATCAACAAGTCCAGATCAAGCCATGACTCAGATTTCCTAAGAAAGAGAAGATCAGTACCTGCTTTGACCTAGTCTTGTCTTAAAGTTAAAAATCACTTTGGGGGCAATGTTAATTATCCAAGTTGGTGTTGGGGGACAGCAGTTCTTCCCAGGCCACCTCTCCATACGATAGGCTTACTGACTTGTCAGATCTTTACTGGAAGTTGTTTGCCTCTGAGGAAGTGCCTCGTTGTAATGTATATGAAATGGTAATATAGGAAAAATCACAACCTTAAGATTTAAGGGTAAGTACACAAGATCGGGCTCTGCAGACATTAACAGCATGGACCTTGGAGCCAGAGTGCCTAGGTTCAGATCCCGTTTTTCCTTCTTAATACCTGTGTGACCTTGGGAAATTACTTACCCTCTCTGTGTCTTAGTCCATCTATAAGATGGGGATAATGAAAGTATCATCACTAGATTGGTATGAGGATTACTTAGATCAATGCTTGGTACAGAGTAGGTGCTCAATCAATACAAGCTGCTACTATTCTTCAGTAACTGGTCAATTTTACATTTGTAGTCAAGGAGTTTGGCTCTTAAGCCAGGTCACATGCCACTCAAGATGTTGCAGAGTACATGTTCTTTCATGCTGATCTGGTTTTTTTCTCCTTTCATCCCCTTACTAGTTATTGTCAACCCATGGTCACCAGTCAGGGCGTTCCATTTACATTCAGTGCTGCAAATCCAAGGGTGCTTTCAAGAGCAGAAATCCATAATTTTAAGAGATTCTTGTTAAAGCTAAAAAGACATGTGATAAGTCCATTTTTCCTGTCAAAAATCTATGAAATCCCACTTACTGTATTTCTTGATCTGACGTGTTCTCTAGAAAGCCCCTCCTTTGATAAATCTTCAAAGTGGTCAGTATTCCTTTGGTATTCTGATCTGTGTTTTGCTAGCCCAGATTTTTGTTATCTGACCCTATGGTAACCACAAGCCTGGTTTTAAAGTTATGTCCACAGGTTCTTTGACTCTTCCTGCCTCAAGAAGTGGAACTAAATTCTTCTCCCCTTGAGTGTGTGTGGACTTGATGCCTCCCCTGTAGTGAATGAATACAGCAGAGATGATGGAATGATGTATCTGATATTCAGTTATAGGAAGACTGTGACTTTTGCCTTGGGTGTACTTTCTTGCTCTCTCTTTGTCTCTGGAATCACTTGGTCTGTGGGAAGTCAACTGCCACATCATGACAACACTTGGGTAGCCAATGGGGAGGCCCATACCATGAGGAACTGAGGTCTCAGATGCCACATTCATGAGATCAGAAGTGTGCCCTTCCCTAGTTTAGCTTCTGAGATGACTGTCGGCCTGACTGCAACCTCCAGAGATACCTCGAGGCACAGTCGCCCAGCCAAGCTGCTCAGGATTCTTGATAATAAACGTTGTTTTAAGCTGCAGTTCTGTTGAACGAATCTCTTGTGTGTCCATTTCTTCAGTAACACTGAGTGAGTGGCCTCATAAAAATGTAGAGAAGTTTTTTTCCTTCGGCGCACCACCGAAGATCCTGGTGTCGCCATGGGCCGCCGCCCCGCCCGGTGTTACTGGGATCGCAAGAACAAGCCATACCCAAAATCTCACTTCTGACGAGGTGTTCCTGATGCCAAGATTCGCACCTTTGACCTGGGACGGAAGAAGGCAAAAGTAGATGAGTTCCCACTCTGTGGCCACATGGTGTCAGATGAATATGAACAGCTGTCCTCCGAAGCCTTGGAGGCTGCCCATATTTGTGCCAACAAGTACCTGGTAAAGAGCTGTGGCAAAGATGGTTTTCATATCCGAGTGAGGCTCCACCCCTTCCATGTCATTCCTTCCATGTCAGGAATGAGAGGTGCCTTTGGGAAGCCCCAGGGCACCATGGCCAGGGTGCACATTGGCCAAGTCATCATGTCAATCCGCACCAAGCTGCAGAACAAGGAGCATGTGATTGAGGCTCTATGCAGGGCCAAGTTCAAGTTCCCTGGCCGCCAGAAGATCCATATCTCAAAAAAGTGGGGCTTTACCAAGTTTAACGCAAATGAATTTGAAGACATGGTGGCTGAGAAGTAGCTCATCCCAGATGGCTGTGGGGTCAAATACATCCCCAATCGCGGCCCCTGGACAAGTGGCGGGTCCTGCACTCATGAAGACTTTCACTCTGCTGGCTCGCCCCCATATCAATAAATCTTGCTTCCTGTTTAAAAAAAAAATGTAGAGAAGAGGATCGGTTATAGGTCATAGGTTGCAAATTATTGTAAATGTAGGAAAGAGTTTTATTTTTCAATTACAAAGCAAAATTGACTGCATCCTGACATATTTTTTATTGTCAACACATCTCCTTGGTGCGAATTATAGTCTAGTCTCCCCTCTCGAGTGATGAGTCTTTCAAAGCATATGAAAACTTCTGTTTCTTCAGTGGTTCTGCCTCTCACCAATTAAGGATGAGACAAGCCCAAAGACTCTCCTTGTGGAAAAGTGGCCAAAGTTCTTGGTGCTCTGCCACGTTAGAAAGTAGGTGACTAGATGGAGAAATAGTAAGGAGGCGGCATCTAGTTTTTAAATCTGAAGTTATTCTAGTATTAGAACCTTTAAGGTTCAGTTTCTTTTCGAATTTCATGAAGCTCATATCTCATCATATTTGAAATGATAACAAATGACTTCTTCTATTTGGCAAATGTATATAGAAATCCTTGAATGAACCTGCTTTTCCCATCTACTAATCAAACTGGAGTCTGAATCAAATAAACTTCAACATAAATGATACCATCTGATTTCTGCAAGCCATCGGACCTTTAACAGTTGACTTCCAAAGCCTGTCCTATCACAGGCAACATATTTCCCCTTTGGAAACTGGGTATAAATCTACCAGGTATGGTTTGAACTGGGTAATTCCATTTGTAGGCTCTCTCTAAGTCCACGAGAATTTGCCATGGTTCATGATCATAGTTTGAAAAGTATTAACTGGCAAATTGCTGGTGCTTAGTCACATACAATCTTTTATCTCTGGATAACTCTTTGCTTTTTTCTTTACATTAAGGCATTTATTTCAAGGAATGGTGCTTCATCATTTTTTAATTAAATTTTTAAGTACAATACACAGCTTGATTATTCTAGTATTGAAGATTTAAGTCTTAGGTAGTACTAAGACCTCCCCTACTGTTTTAAAACCTCCTCACCTGGATGTCATTCAGCTTTGTATCAAGGGACCAATATAATATGTGCTCTTTATTTTTTTATTTTTTATTTTTTCATTATTATTTTTGAGTTGGAGTCTCACTCTGTCGCCCAGACTGTAGTGCAGTGGCCGCTCCTGGCCACCGCAGCCTTGACCTGCTGGACTCTGGCGATCCTTCTGCCTCAGCCTTCCAAGTAGCTGGAACTACAGGGGCGCACTACCATGCCCGGCTAATTTTTTGATTTATTGTAGAGATGAGGTCTCACCAAGTTGCCCAGGTGGGTCTCGAACCCACGGGCTCAGGCTGTCCATTCACCTTGGCCTCCCAAAGCTCAGGAATATTGTTCTTTATTTAAGATCCTTAAGGCTGGAAATTTTCCATTGCACGTTAGTTCAAATTTGCCAGCAAGTAAGAGCAACATATTTCCTGACTCTCCATAAGGTTAAACATGTGAACTGAAAATAGAGTAAGAGAAAATCAAGTACAGCACAGTAATATACTTTCTACAGTGCTGTAATCGGGTACTTACAGCATGTGGTCAGCTATTAAGTAATCACAGAAAATTCCATATGGATGGTTTGTAAAGTCAGACTTGGGATTTGCTTCTTTTTCATGTTTTCTTTCTAAACACAATTTCCTTAAGTGTTGTATGCCTCTATTAATATTTGCAACTTGGTAATGTTTAAGAGCTTTGACATTTCTTAATGTCAGTAATTTCCATATTGAAATTTGACATATATTTGGGCTCATTTTAAATCAGATGTCCTAGTCTTCATCATTAATTTTTTTTAATCTTTCTCAAGTATAGAAGAAAAATCCCCACGTTCATTTATTTATTCAGTTCCTCCCCCCACACACAAACATATACACTCACACATGTGCACGATCCAAGCCTTCCCCTGTACCGACTTTGATTGACTCTTATTCATCAGTCAAAATTCACTCAGATAACTCCCTTGTACCGCTGCCGGCTGATTTTTGGGCTTGCGTCTGCAACTTCAGCCATCATAGAATTGTTGTTTCTCTAGTCTCCCCTCTTTGCCCGTCCCCCATTACATTGTGACTTCTTCACCCAGGGACTGCATCTTTTGTTTCTTTGTACCCAGGACCTACCAGAATTACTGTACAGCAGAAAGTGCTTCTTAAGTGCCTGTTAAATGAGTCACTTCAACCACCAGGCTAGCTGGCAGATGAGTTCAGAGGCTATATAAACAACATTCATAAGCTTAGCCAAAACCTTGTTGTAACCAGAGCAGCAGAAGCCCAGAAACTCAGGGACAAGGCCACTCTGGGTTTATAACTCCTTCAGGGCCTACGCAAGGCCAGACCAACTCAGGAAACCACATGCCTGCCCAGATCCTTGCTGCCTGGCAATTTGGCTGAGCCTGTGGGCCTGTACCAACTCAGTGTGAGGGAGGTGCTTGAAAACTTTTTGCTTGTTCAAGAATGCCAATAAGCAAAATAGGTAGAGAGACCTTTACAAAATTCAGTTACATGTTTCATGCTTCATTGTTTATTATTCAAGTCAGAGGTTAACTTATTACATTTGCCAGGAAAATATACTGGTGACAAGTGACAAAACCACCTTGAGAGGCCAGTTCAGCTTAGGATGAACCAAGAGGGCAGTGGGGCTGCGAGAAGCTTTGTTTCTCAGTCGTCCAGAGGGAGGACTTTCCAGGATGCAAGAAGAGAGCTCTAGGTGAACGGAGATGGTACCTCCTGCAGGGCTCGTATTTTCCGGTTTAAAGGATGCCTCTTGTAGGCCATGAGATAAGCAGCTGGGGTCAAGAGGGGACTTCCATCCATAAAGTACAGTCTTCACTATTCAGTTATAGGGGCTCCTCATTCTTTTTTTTTTTTTTTTTTTTTTGAGTTGGAGTCTCACTCTGTCACCCAGACTGTAGTGCAGTGTCTGTCTCCTCATTCTTAACTGAGCTGGCCAGGTACTGTGTCAGTGATATCCATGGAGCTCAGGCTCAAGTGGCCCTTGAGCCCTCAGGACTGTGGCTGCTAAGTCTTTCTTTTCACACTTGGAAAATATGAGCCTTTAAGTTTTATTTAGCAGACACTCAAGCTAGCAGCCTGGAATATGCCCTGATTCTGGGATGGAGTCCAGAGTACTGCACCGAGCCGCTGAAATGCTGCTTCAAGCCGGGTTCTGTTGCAAGCCAGCCACCCATCTGGAACTGGATTCTTAGTCCCTGAGCCTATTGCCTCATGATGAAGGAACATAGTAATATCATTCAGGATACTTGGAAGACATATCGGATGGCACTTTACAGACTCTGAAGACTCTCCAGCCCTCCCTCTGATGCACTGGAAACTTTGCCTTCTAAATGCCCTACAGGTCCCTTTCCCAGTGACCTGGTCTCCGGAAACTGGGAGGGGGTGTACCTGGTGGTGTTGCCAAATGATCAGCGCCCCTCTCTACTTACCCCACTTGGGCTTTTCACTTTTTTATTGTTTCTGGCATCTAAGGTAGTCACATACTTCTTTTCCAGCCATGAGTTAAAAAACATTTTTAAAAAATATTTCATGCAGTATTTGTATAACTGTATCAGAAAAGTTCCTCTGAGTATCTTGTTTGTATATTGTCCTGTATTTTTTTGTAGTGGAAGCAAATACAAGTTGAGTGTCACAAGTTCAAATTCTGAAATGCTCTGAAATCTAAACTCTGTGCGTACCAACACAAGGCTCAAAGGAAATGCTCACTGGGACAGTTCAGCTTTTGGATTTTTGGATTAGGGACGCTCAACCTGTGTGAACTCTAAAGAATCCTTAAATAAAGCTGTTTGCTGCCAGAAACTACTACCTCCTCACCACACTCCTAATAAGGTTCTGCCTCTTGCAGGAAATTATGAAAGCCTGATTTAGGGTGTTAGACCTGGGTGCAAAATTCAGCTCTTCTACTCAAAAGCTATGTGATCTTGGTGAGTTTCTTATTCCGTATCTGTATAATGCAGGAGAGGGAGGAAACAACAACAACAACAGCAGCAGCAATAAGCATGATAATAATAATACAGGATTTGTGTGAAGCTGAATGAGGCTAGCTGTGTGAGAGCATGGAGTACCAGCCCGTGGTAGTTGTGTAGTTAATAACATTTCTCTTGTGACTTGACATCTGGTTTGAGATTCTGGAGTCCTGTAACTCCTCCTCATCCCCCCTGTTTGCCACCCTGCCCCCGTCAGCCAGATCCTCTGCAGTGAAACATCCACCACTCGGCAGTAGGCTCACTACCAGTCCTGGAATGGCTCTCTCTGGTCAAGGCTTCCTGTGTGACAAGTGTTTCCTAAGCAGCCTGTTCCTGCTGGCCTCTGCCACCTTCCCTCTGCCCTCCATGGTCATTCTTTGTTCCTTCCTGGGCAGCAGCATCTAACCATGGGCCATGGTGGTGTCCCAGCAGTGTAGTGTCAGCAGCCCAGAGCCTTCTGAGCCCACCCAGGATGAGGCTGGGACCAGGCAATCCCTGTTCCTCCTTACGCTGTTTCTTCTTGCGCTGGGACTGCGTTGACCAAGTTGGGAGCCAGGGAGACAGTGGGTTTGTCAACCTTTCACTTGTTTGGCCACAGTCCTAAGTTGCAGAGATGACAGGTCAGTCCCATGAGGAAAGCCAAACAACCAAACAACAAATCCAGTCAGGTCACCAGAGATCGTAGCAGAAGATCCTCAGTAGAAAGGAGCACATGCCTGACACAAAGGAATATGAAGGTAAAAAGCATGAAATTGGGTAAAAGTGAAGTAATTGCTATAAATGGGTCACATGTAGACCCTTTTAAAATAAATTTTGGAATTTCTTTTTATTTTTAAAAAATCAGCTTTAAAAATCAATCTTATCTTTTTGTTTCTAATATTTTTGCATATATTTATATACATATAAAGTATTTAAGTGAATAAAATTGGAATATTGTATATATGGTTCTTTTCAAGTAAAAGTACTAATGTAATATATTTTTTAAAATTTTGTGGGCTG